GAGAGGCCCGCGTACCGCAAAAAAAAAAAAAAAGTAGTAAATAAAAAAAAGGAGAGAAGAAAGAAAGAAGGAAAGAAAGAAAGAAGAGAGCAACCAAACCAAAAGACAAATCCACCAACAGGACAAATGGTAAAAGCAAAGCTGTACAGACAAAATCACACACAGAAGCATACACATACACACTCACAAAAAGAGAAAAAGGAAAAAAATATATGTATCTATATATTTAAAAAAGAAAAAAGGAAGAAGAGAGCAACCAAATCAATAAACAAATCTACCAATGATAATAAACTCTAAATACTAAACTAAGATAAACATAAAACCAGGAACAAATTAAATGCAGACAGCAAACCCCAAGTCTACAGTTGCTCCCAAAGTCCACCGCCTCAATTTTGGGATGATTCGTTGTCTCTTCATGTATTCCACAGATGCAGGGTACATGAGGTTGATTGTGGAGATTTAATCCACTGCTCCTGAGGCTGCTGGGAGAGATTTCCCTTTCTCTTCTTTGTTCGCACAGCTCCTGGGGTTCAGCTTTGGATTTGGCCCCGCCTCTACGTGTAGGTCGCCGGAGGGCCTCTGTTCCTCGCTCAGACAGGACGGGGTTAAAGGAGAAGCTGATTAGGGGGCTCCGGCTCACTCAGGCCGGGGGTGGGGGAGGGGTACGGATGCGGGGCGAGCCTGCGGCGGCAGAGTCCAGAATGATGTTGCACCAGCCTGAGGCGCGCCGTGTGTTCTCCCGGGGAAGTTGTCCCTGGATCACGGGACCCTGGCAGTGGCAGGCGCACAAGCTCCCAGGAGGGGAGGTGGGGATAGTGACCTGTGCTTGCACACAGGCTTCTTGGTGGCTGCAGCAGTAGCTTTAGCGTTTCATGCCCGTCTCTGGGGTCCACGCTGATAGCCGCGGCTCACGCCTGTCTCTGGAGCTCGTTTACGCAGTGCTCTGAATCCCCTCTCCTTGCGCACCCCAAAACAATGGTCTCCTGACTCTTAGGCATATCCAGACTTTTCCCGGACTTCCTCCCGGCTAGCTGTGGCGCACTAGCCCCATTCAGGCTGTGTTCACGCAGCCAACCCCAGTCCTCTCCCTGGGATCTGACCTCCGAAGCCCGAGCCTCAGCTCCCAGCCCCCGCCCACCCCAGCGGGTGAACAGACAAGCCTCTCGGGCTGGTGAGCGCTGGTCGGCACCGATCCTCTGTGCAGGAATCTCTCCGTTTTGCCCTCTGCACCCCTGTTGCTGCGCCCTCCTCCGTGGCTCCGAAGCTTCCCCTCCCCACCATCCCCCATCTCCACCAGTGAAGGGGCTTCCTAGTGTGTGGAGACCTTTCCTCCTTCACAGCTCCCTCCCACTGGTGCAGGTCCCGTCCCTATTCTTTTGTCTCTGTCTTTTCTTTTTGCTTTTTTCTTTTGCCCTACCCAGCTACCCGTGGGGAGTTTCTTGCCTTTTGGGAAGTCTGAGGTCTTCTGCAAGCGTTCAGTAGGTGTTCTGTAGGAGTTGTTCCACATGTAGATGTATTTGTGATCTCCACGTCTTACTCCTCCGCCATCTTGAAGCCATAATGCTTCTTTGAATGTCCTCGGACATAAATCTTTTTTGACGGTTTCCGATTTTTTTGGTAGAATAAATTCTTTGAGTTGGAATTACCAGCTAATATATACTACATGTTGTCAAATCTGCATCTGTAGCCTATGGCTTTGATTTCCTCAGAGATACCTGCTGTCCACCTGTTGTCACCAGCTAACTGGTCATTAGGCCAATCATTGTGAATAAACAGAGACAATTTAATAAAAATAATGTAAGTGCTGCCATTTGTTAGTATACATACATCTGTGTCAGGAATTCTATTAAAGGTCTACATATATTTCTCTTTATCCTCATGGTAACCCTCTGGGGTGTGGGTATCATGATCTCCATTTTAAAAATGAGAACACTGAGGCACAGATAGGTAAAGAACTTGCTCAAGGTCATAAGCCAGTACAGTGCAGTCAGAATTGAAGCCCAGGCCTATCAAACTGTAAACCCTGTGCCCTTAATGTCTGCTTCTCGTGTGCGGGTATACACTGGTGACTGGGGGCTTCACCAGAGCCAGGCCTCCGCAGCCATTTGTGACCCCAGTGGACCATGTAAGATAGACCATGTAATGGCCTGCAGCCTACTACAGTGCTTGGGTTGGCCCAGGGCCAGCTTTTCTGTTTTTCCTAAGAGGTGAAGTTGTGGGCCTGAGGTCTGGCCCAGCCTGTTGGGGAATGTAGACTCAGGGTGTGGCTGCTTCATCAGTGCCTTGGCTTGGAGTTTTCCATCAGCCTCGAGGAACCCTTGCAATAATGCATCATTCCTCCACAGGGTTTTCTGGCCAAGGATTTGCAAGCTGAAGCTCTCTGCAAACTCGACAGGAGAGTAAAAGCCACAATCGAGCAGTTTATGAAGATCTTGGAAGAGATTGACACACTAGTAAGTAAATATTCAGCTGAGAAGAACTAGTTTCCTTTGACTATTTTTCAGTCAGTTTCACTCAGTATCACACTCACTGCCTGAGGGTATTGAGCACCTATCGTGTACCAGACACTGCTAGGTCTTTGGTGAATACACAGAAAGGTAAGATGGTTCCTGATTTCTCCTGTCCCACCAACATAGGGCTTTTGTCATATTATTTATGTATGTATTTATTTATTTATTTTGGCCACGGCATGCGGGATCTTAGTTCCCCGATCAGGGATTGAACCCATGCCCCTGCATTGGGAGTGCAGAATCTTAACCACTGGACTGCCAGGGAAGTCCCTGTTATTTTTATTTATGTATGCCAGTAGCATCTAATCCTCAGGAAGCTGGGATGGTCCATGATCTCATGGTTAGAGAAACACAGGGCTTAACTTTCCTAATACACATGTGTCTGACATTTCACTGAGCTCATTACCTGTACAGAATTCAGTCAGACCCAGCTCCTGTGAGGCTGTTGGGAATCATCGATGCCACGCTCCCTCTTAGAGATGACACAGTAATGATATCTCTAGCCTAAACTACTCTGCTTGGGATTCTTGGGGGGAGGTGGTAAAGAAGAAGCAGAAAAGCACTGTGCTTTTCCCGCCACACTGAGCTCATGGTCCAGCCAGGACACGGTATCGATGCACAGGAAACAGGGAGAGGACAAAGTCCATGTTATAGATCTATGGCCCCGACACCAAGAACAAAGGGAGCTTGTATAGGGGTGAGAGCCATGGGAAGGGCCATGTAGGGTATAGATCCAGGGAAGTGATTCCTGAAAATGCATGTCATTCACATTAGTGACCTGTGGCCTGTTCGGTATACTGTAGGTATTTCTGACGTGTTCTTATGTCATTTTCACTGAGGATTATTTATATGTCAACTTATTCTTCCATAGGTTCTGCCAGAAAATTTCAAAGACAGTCGAATGAAAAGGAAGGGTTTGGTGAAAAAGATTCAGGTGAGTTGTGTGGTAGGGCATCACAAAGTGTAATGTGTTGGTGCATGTATCTGTTCAAAGTAGGTTAGAGTATTAAGTGTGGTGTGGCCACTCTTTGGTTGTTATATCTCAGCATGAACCCAGAACCTAAGAGAAGAGCTCCTTTCATGTCCCTGTAATTAAATTTGGACTTAAACTAATTGAGAAGGAAGATGGCTGGAGAGCAGATAGGGCTGACATGTTATACTGATCCGATGGACAGGACCCCCTGAAATCGTGCAGTTGCAGTGGCCTGGCTTCCTGTCCTCAGCACCCTTTGGGGGTTGTTGGCATAGAACACTGTCAGAAGCCCTGGTCCTGTGCTTCCTCTACCTCCCCCTCCTTCCTCTGGAGCCCAGGCCATCTCCATCCCTGCACACCTGTTTCAGCCTGAGTCAGGTGCCCAGGGGTTCCCCAGAGTGGCTGGGCAAAGAGCCTTTTGCAGGTGGGGCTGGCAGGGGTGCCTGGCCCCGAGTGGGCCCTTACTTCTCTGTATTTACCTTGTAGGCGTTCCTAGCTGCGTGTGATACAGTGGAGCAGAGCATCTGCCAGGAGACGGAGCGACTGCAGGCCACAAACTTGGCCTTGGCTGACTGAGGTGAGGCGGAGAAGGCTGTGCTGCCTTGAAGAACAGCTCCACCAGCTCTGCATTCTCTGGAACAGAAGTTACGTGCTTTCCCCGGGGCTGCTGGGGACAACTGGCTGATTGCAAGTTTTCCTTCTCTTATACCTGCTCTCAGTGAACACTTGTCTGTGCAATCTTAGCATACCTGTCAGTTTCTCATTCCGTCTGTGTATATCTGTGCTGTCCAGCAGCCCACCTTGTCTGGAGAGGGCCTCCTCTGCCCAAGTCTTCCCAGCATTTTTGACCTTTGGATGCTTTCTTTGGGCTGGTGAGAGCTCTCATTTGTCCTGAGGTAGTTCTGGGTTTATCAGCTATCCTGTCTTCAGATACATGAGGCCGTTTTGCCCTTATGATCCCATAGTCCCATCTGTGTAAACCAGAATCACCAGGAGGCTACATCTGGTCAGGAATGTTAGGAATGGCTCAGAACAGGTGTTTGGCACACAGGTAGTCCAAGTATTTCTCATTGTGACCTAATTCTGGAACAGCTGGCTGGGTTGTGGGTTCATAGACCCTGTCTTCACCCCGCAGTGACCCTGACCAGTCACAGGCCGTGAGGTCTCAGGGGGCTGCTCCTGGACTGGGGCCTGTGGTTGATCCATGGGCTTCCTTGTCCCCAAGCAGATCTCTAGGAGGTTACAGCCCAGAGTTGACTAAGTCTCTGCTGGAAACCGGGTCACAACAATGGCTTAGGAGGGGCAGAGAAGAGAAACAGAGTGAATAATAAAGCAGGCAGGTAGTGAGGGCCACCATAAACTTCTCAGGAGTTCCTTCAAAGGCATTTCTGTTAACCGTACCCTTCTGAGATCTACATGTCCTTCGTATTCATTCCAGGCTGTTTTTGTCTGTTGTGTGGCCTTTTTCCCCTTCATTGTTATTTAAAAAGTAAAATAGTTTATATATACATCAGCAAGCAGAAGAGTGTTCAGACTTTTTTTTCCTTTTGGTAGATGAAGTATGGGAAGCAAAAGCCTTCTGAGGTTCTAGTCTAGTTATGTTATAAAGTTGAGAGTGGCCCTGTGTGCTGGAACGCTTAAACAGGTCAGCTGCCATCACCCCATTTTTTCACACAGTGCCCAGGAGACAGGCTTCCAACAGGCCACTCTGAGGTCAACCTTTGGCAGAGAGGGAGTCTGTGAAGTCCCAGGCATTTAGGGCTGCGTGGGTGGGACTAGGACAAGGTGGTGGTTAGGGGTGGACAAGTGGACGAGGCTAGGGGCCCGGCCCACCCACCCCCAGCTTTAATCAGAGCAGTCCAGTATTTCTCTGTTTCTAGGTAGTAGCTGTGTGGCCTTGAGCCACAGCACGTTCCTGTGTGCCAGATACCACTCTGAGTTCTTGAAGTGTGTTGGTCATTTAATCTTCACACAATCTAGGAGGTAGACAGATACTATCTCTGTTTTATAGATAAGCTCAGGTAATTTGCTCAAGATCACAGAGTAAGTGACAAAGCCAGGACACAAACTGGGTAGCTTGAGTCCGAGCCCAAGTCCTTAATCTTTGCCGGTTTGCCTCCCAACTAACATGGGGTTGCTCACACCCTCTCATTTTCTTCTATTTATCTCCCATGTTGGCCTCTGCAGCTCCCCTCTGGCCCTCTCCAGTTCATTCTCCACAGAGCAGCTGAGTGATCATGAAGTACACAAATTACCATGTCAGTCCCCTGCTTAAAAACCTCAGAGGCCAAGGTCCGTACACTGCTCCCTTCTCATCTCGGGCCACTCTCCTGTTTGTTCTTTGCTGTCAGCCACTCTGGTCTAGTTCAGGCCCTCAGGTGCTCTGTGCCCTCTCCCGCCCTGGGGTCTTTGCAGACGCTGTTCCTCTGCTTGGACAGCTCCACGCCATCCTTCCCCTTCCCCTACCCCTGTCCTAGGCGACTCCTGTTCATGCTTCAGAACGTAAACGTCTCTTCAGGGAGAAACCTCACCTACTACTGTCTGAGAACATCAAGCCCCCAGGTGATATCCTCTCACAGTTTGTCATGCCTTTTTATGATAAACAGCGTTTATCATGGTCTATGATGATTTACTTGTGGGATTATTTGATTAATATTTGCCTTTATGCTAGACTGTGAGTTCCTTGGGTTAAGGAGCTTCTTTGTCTTGTTAACAGTGTATTTCAAGCAGATTGTCTGGTTTATATTAGATGCTCAATAAATATTTGGAGAATGAATGAATGTTGACCGCACACATTAATAGTGAAATTTCCACTGCTGCACTCACCCACTGAAGCTCCGTCAGCACTGGGATTTACAGCATCCGCTAGCCATTTTCTTATTTAAGGGTGGGCTGCCCAGCAGATGTGCAGGGTAGTAACACGGCCCACTCACATAGATCTGCACATCTACAGGGCATCTCTGCCTAT